AGTTCCTCACCCCAAAAACCCCCTGAGCCCCCCCAGTGCATGCTGGGGCTGCCCCCCGAAGGTGCGACCCCAAATCTGAGTTCCTCACCCCAAAAAACCCCCTGAGACCCCCCAGTGCATGCTGGGGCTGCCCCCCGAAGGTGCGACCCCAAAAACGAGTTACTCACCCCAAATCTGAGTTCCTCACCCCAAAAAACCCCCTGAGCCCCCCCAGTGCATGCTGGGGCTGCCCCCCGAAGGTGCGACCCCAAAACCGACCCCAAATCTGAGTTCCTCACCCCAAAAAACCCCCTGAGCCCCCCCAGTGCATGCTGGGGCTGCCCCCCGAAGCTGCGACCCCAAAACCGACCCCAAAAACGAGTTCCTCACCCCAAAAAACCCCCTGAGCCCCCCCAGTGCATGCTGGGGCTGCCCCCCGAAGGTGCGACCCCAAAACCCACCCCAAACTCACCCAAAATTACCCCAAACTGACCCTAAGTGACCCTGAATGGACCCCAAATTGACCATAAATGACCCCAAACTGACCCAAACCTGACCCCAAATGACCCCCACTGACCCATAACTGACCCCAAATGGACCCCACATCCCAAATGACCCCGAGTGACCCCAAACTGACCTCAAATGACACCAAATTACCTAAATGACCCCAAATGACCCAGAACTGACCCATAACTGACCCCAAATGACCCCAGCTTACCCCAAACTGACCCCAAATTACCACAAATGACCCCAAACTACCACAAATGACCAAAAATGACCGCAAACCGACCCCAAATGACCCCGAGTGACCCCAAATAACCACAAATGACCCCAAACTGACCTCAACTGACCCATAACTACCCATAACTGACCCCAAATGACCCTGAGTGACCCCAAATGACCACAAACTGACCTCAACTGACCCCAAACTGACCTCAAATCACTCAAACTGACCCAAATGACCACAAATGACCCCGAGTGACCCCAAACTGACCCCAAACTGACCTGAACTGACCCATAACTGACCCCAAATGACCCCACCTGACCCCGAGTGACCCCGAGTACCCCCAAACTGACCCCGAGTGACCCCGAGTGACCGCGGCTGCCCCCCACTGCCCGCAGAGATCATCGAGAAGGTGCAGCGGCCGCCGCCCCTGTGCCGCCCCGCGGTCTCGGCCGACCAGGCCCCGCTGGAGTGCATCCACCTGATGAAGGAGTGCTGGAGCGAGCAGCCCGAGAAGAGACCCACCATCGACCAGGTGTTCGACCAGGTGAGACTCACCTGGGGCAGGTGAGACCAGTATGGGACCAGTATGGGACTGGTATGGGGTGATGGGACCAGTATGGGACCAGTATGGGCTGGAGCGAGCAGCCTGAGAAGAGACCCACCATCGACCAGGTGTTCGACCAGGTGAGACTCACCTGGGGCAGGTGGGACACACCTGGGGCAGGTATGGGACTGGTGAGACCAGTATGGGACCAGGATGGGTCTGGTATGGGACTGGTGGGACCAGTATGGGCTGGAGCGAGCAGCCCGAGAAGAGACCCACCATCGACCAGGTGTTCGACCAGGTGAGACTCACCTGGGGCAGGTGGGACCTGTACGGTCTCTGTGTGGTTCTGTGGGGTCCCTGTGAGGTTCCATGGGGTCTCCATGGGGTTCCATGGGGTTCTATGGCATTCCATGAGGTTCTATGGGTTCTCCATGGGATTACATGGCATTCCATGGGATTCCATGAGATTCCATGGATCTCCGTGGGGTTTCCATGGGGTTCCGTGGGCTCTCCATGGGTTTCCCGTGGCTCTGACCCACACCTTTTGGGGTCAGTTCAAGGGCATCAACAAGGGCCACAAGGCCAACATCATCGACCCCGTGGGGTCTCCGTGGGGCTCTGTGGGGTCTCCATGGGGTTCCATGGGATTCCATGGAGTTCCATGAGGTTCTATGGGGTTCTATGAGATTCTGTGGGGTTTCCATGGGTTTCCATGAGATTCCATGGGGTTTCTGTGGGGTTTCCATGGAGTTCCATGGACCTGACCCACACCTTTTGGGGTCAGTTCAAGGGCATCAACAAGGGCGGCAAGGCCAACGTCATCGACCCCGTGGGGTCTCCATGGGATTCCAAGGGGTTCCATGGAGTTCCATGAGGTTCTACGGGGTTCCATGAGATTCCATGGGGTCTCCATGGGTTTCCATGGGATTCCATGGGGTTCTGTGGGGTTTCCATGGGGTTCCATGGGCTCTCCATGGTTTCCCGTGGCTCTGACCCACACCTTTTGGGGGCAGTTCAAGGGCATCAACAAGGGCCGCAAGACCAACGTCATCGACCTTGTGGGGTCTCCATGGGATTCCATGGCGTTCCATGGGATTCCATGAGATTCCATGGGATTCCATGAGATTCCATGGATCTCCGTGGGGTTTCCATGGGGTTCCGTGGGCTCTCCATGGGTTTCCCGTGGCTCTGACCCACACCTTTTGGGGTCAGTTCAAGGGCATCAACAAGGGCCGCAAGGCCNGGGGGGGGGGGGGTATCACCCCATGGGTGCCACACGGAGGTTTGGGGTGCAGGGAGCTTCAGATGGTGAGCCTGGCCTGATCTGTGGGGCAGGAGGGGTCAGGGGGGTGGGAGAGGTCAAGGGGGTCACCAGGAGGAAGTTGGGGTCAGCCTTGACCCATTGACCCCACCCAGATCTGTGGGGCAGGAGGGGTCAGTGGGGTGGGAGAGGTCAGGGCGGTCACCAGAAGGTTGGGGCCAGCCTTGACCCATTGACCCCACCCAGATCTGTGGGGCAGGAGAGGTCAGTGGGGTGGGAGAGGTCAGGGGGGTCACCTGGAGGAGGTTGGGGTCAGCCTTGACCCACTGACCCCACACTGAGGTATGGGGCAGCAGAAGGTCAAGGTGGTCACTGTGGACAGATTATGGCCAGCCTTGACCCCTTGACCAAGGCGGTCACTCAACCTTGACCCCTTAATCAATGTGGTCACTCAACCTTGACCCCTTCGGTCAGTGTGGACAGGTTGTGGTCAAACTTGACCCGTTGACCAAGGCGGTCACTCAACCTTGGCCCCTTGACCAAGGTGGTCACTCAACCTTGACCCCTTGACTGAGGTGGTCACTCAACCTTGACCCCTTGACCAAGGTGGTCACTCAGCTTTGACCCCTTGACCACTGTAGCAGGACAAAGTCAAGGTGGTCACCAAGGACAGGTTGTGGTCACCCTTGACCCCCTGACCCACCCGGAGCTATGGGTCAGCAGATGGCCAAAGTGCCCCTTGTGGTCAGCCTTGACCCCACTGACCCACTGAGTCCCGTGGGTCAGCAGATGGCCAAAGTGCCCCTTGTGGTCAGCCTTGACCCCACTGACCCCTACGGGTCACCAGTAGCTACCAGTGGCCACACTGCCCACTCTGTGACCCCCTGGCCGGCGCGGCTGACCGCCGGTGACCCCGTGACCCCCGGGCAGGTCGGTGGCCGAGGCGCTGAAGATGGGGACGCCGGTGGAGCCCGAGTACTTCGAGGAGGTGACGCTGTACTTCAGCGACATCGTGGGCTTCACCACCATCTCGGCCATGAGCGAGCCCATCGAGGTGGTGGACCTCCTCAACGACCTCTACACCCTCTTCGACGCCATCATCGGCTCCCACGACGTCTACAAGGTGACCAGGGCCGCGCGGTCACGGTGGTCACTCGGTCACGGGTGGTCACCTCAGGATGGGGGTTGGGGTCAGTGGTGGTGGCCACAAGGTGACCAGGGCTGCGGCCACGTGGTCACGGTGGTCACTCGGTCACGGGGGGTCACCTCAGGATGGGGGTTGGGG